CTTTACCTTGAACTGTGTATGCTAATGTAAACGCTGAGACTGCAGTCAGTGTCAATTTGTCCACAAGGGACAGTGAGGGCACTCTGCGTGTTTTGTTGTTGTTGTGATAGGAACAGAGCAATTATGGGGTGACCCGTTTGCTATGAAGTTGAAACAAAGATTACCAGCTGATGATTATGATGATAATGATGATGTTGATGATGATGATGATACCCATGACACCGGAAGTGATCCTGCATTAGACGTCACATGTCAAGGTCAGTTCTGCGGAAAAAGCTAGGAGATGTTTTGTTCTGTTGCTCTCCTCTGCCAGCCGTTACTGCTTAGCTCTCAGCTCTCCGATGATAGTCCCAGCAGATACATATCTTTTTCTGTGTCGTGAGTTAGCCATTTGATTGATCACAACCTGTTAATCTATACATTTATGTTACTTGTGTGTGGCCGATAGTAGGTAGGCCAAGGCGCCGCCGCCAGAGAGTTCAGAGACTGGAGTGACTCGACTGAGTCTTGTCTTGTCTTGATTCCCCTCCCCTAGGGACAAGCTTTAGTAAAGTGTACCTTTATGTTCATGTAATGCTTGTGGCGTCACCGTTATTGATTTTACTAACATGACCAAGTGAGTGTTTAGAAGAGATTAGTACAACATATTGGATTATTTCAATTTATGGATAACTTTAATTAAGGATGCTAGTGAAGTTTTATATTTTGGGTTTTTTCTTAGGAAACCATGACAGCTAGATTAGAGATTACAATTACAAATCCAATGGTACCTCATTTAAGCCTGTAAGTAAGTCGATTATAAGCGGATATATTAACATTTTAGAGACAGATACCACCACAGACAAATTATAGTGGATATGGACAAAACATTGATTCCGGGCTGTGACCCAGTAAGATGAAATGACTCAATGATTGCATTTTGTTCCCATAGCTATTTTGTTTCTGAGCGAATTCCTTAGCAACCATATATTGCTGGAAGCGGAACAGTTAGACCTAACTGTATATGCATGTTTTAAAAACATATAGTATAATATGCATATAATTAACATATGAAAATTGTCACCAGCTCACTATTTTCAAGCAAAACATACCTTTATGGTTATCAGCTAGCGAGCCTTGCATGTTGCATATCAAATTGTGCGTCCCGACAAGGTGAACACAAAAATAAACCCATGTCAGTTGACGTGACCTAATTAACATATGAAAATGGCCATCAATTGACTTTTTTTCAGCAAAAACCTTATACATTTATAGATGACAGCAGATATCATGTGTTATGTCAAATCCTGTCCGGAGTGTCAGAAGGTGGCACCTAAAGGCAGGAATGCATCAGTTGGATTAGGGGAAACTCCTGTAACCTCCACACCCTTCGAGAGGGTGGCGGTCGATCTGGTGGGACCACTTCCTCTCACAAAGAAGAAGAATGCTTACATCTTGACCTTCGTAGACTGTTGTTCGGCTTGGCCGGAGGCTATCGCTCTTCGGAAGATCGACAGTAAGACTGTGGCAGAGGCATTGATGAGCATCTTCACAAGAGTGGGATTCCCTTCGCAGATACTGACAGACAATAGGTCTCAGTTCCGGGGGAAATTGATGGAGGAAGTTTTTCAGATAATCAAATCTCAACACATTTGCACCAGTCCATACCGACCCAAGCGAACGGCCAGAATGAGCGACTCAATGGAACGTTGGTATCGCTCCTGAGAAGATTAACCCAGGAAAAGCCAGAGAGGTGGGACGAGTATCTCTCTGCAGCACTATTCGCCTACCGGGAAGTATACAATGCCTCTACTGGATTTCCGCTTTCGACCTTGGTGTTTGGAAGACATATTTCCGGATCCTTGGCCATTCTCAGGAAGACATGGACAGACGAAACGGCAGATGACAAATATCAGTTTCATATTTGTGCAAGAAAATGAGCGAGCTGACCGGCTTGCAGGTCAAGCTACTGTGGAGGATGGATATTTCACGGACAAGGCTGTACGAGAAGTGAGGTATTGGCAAGAACCAAGTGATGACTGAATCTGCAACTATGACCAGACTGCAAGAGCAGCAGGTTAAAAAGGGTGTGGCCAGACAAGAGCACTATGCAGGAAGCCAAAGAAGAATAAGAAACCAACACAATAGTGGTGTTGTCAACCACTACACACTGCAGGATTTACTGAGGAGGTCATCTGAGCACTTTTGGATCAACTAGTTTGTTGTGCAATGAGAATAATCTGTTGACTAACTTAATAAATATCTTTGTAGCATAATATTCTTTACAAATTCATCAGCTTCAAATCTGCATTTTCAAAGAAACAATTGATGTCTCTTTTCTCAGACGTTCTGGTCTTCTGCTGCTTATGTGTGTTGTCAAGATAAAGGTCTCTGTTTACTGGTCCACTGAATTGGTGAAACACATTTGTCCACAAGTATTCTACTTCTCAGATTTCTTCAGCACACATTTGAATTCTTCGGTAGTTACTTCTAATATCTGGTTGCCTTTGTGTGTGTATTTTAATGAAAAAGAAAAATTTATGGGATTGACTTTTCACATGTCTTCATTTAGCAGTTGCTTTTGTTTCTGCAGGTTCGTGAATTACTTCTTAAACACTGAATGTTATCTGTCTTTCTAAAGTGTTGTGTTGTCTAGCTTTCTATAGTGTGGCTGACTGAGATTATACTCTTAGTCATCTGATTTAGTGTTTTCACTGACATTATTTTCTCCTGTTTAAGCCACAGTTTATGCGCTTATCCAAGATACAAATGTTTCTTCCTCTGCGTCATTTTGATATTTATTCACAGTTCTGATACACAGGTGTGTGATGCATTTGTCTACAGTTTGTTCTGATTCTGATACACAGTTGTATCATGTGTTTATATTTGTCAGCAGTTAATTCTTATACACAGTTGTGTCATGTGTTTATTTTTGTCAGCAGTTAATTCTGAAACACAGTTGTGTCATGTGTTTACATTTCTCCACAGTTAGTTCTGATACACAGTTGTGTCATGTGTTTATATTTGTCCACAGTTAATTCTGATACGCAGTTGTGTCATGTGTTTATTTTTGTCAGCAGTTAATTCTGATACACAGTTGTGTCATGTGTTTATATTTGTACACAGTTAATTCTGATACACAGTTGTGTCATGTGTTTATTTTTGTCAGCAGTTAATTCCGATACACATTTGTGTCATGGGTTTATTTTTGTCAGCAGTTAATTCTGATACACATTTGTGTCATGGGTTTATTTTTGTCAGCAGTTAATTCCAATACACATTTGTGTCATGGGTTTATTTTTGTCAGCAGTTAATTCTGATACACAGTTGTGTCTTGCGTTTATTTTTGTCCACATGTAATTCTGATACACAATTGTGTCATGTGTTTATATTTGTCCATAGTTAATTCTGATACACAGTTGTGTCATGTGTTTATATTTGTCCACAGTTAATTCTGATACACAGTTGCGTCATGTGTTTATATTTGTCAGTAGTTAGTTCTGAAACAGTTTTTTGTTTTTATTTGTCTACAGTTAGTTCTAAATCACATTTGTGTCATGTGCTGATAGTTATCCACAGTTCTGATACATAGTTGTGTAATGTGTTTATATATTCCACAGTTCTGATAAATAGGTAGGTGTGTTATGTGTTTATATTTGTCCAACAGTTCTAATACGTAGTTTTGTGTTTATTTTTGTCCACAGTTCTGATTTATAAGTGTCTCATGTGTTTATTTTTGTCCAGCTCCTCTTCACTTTAAATTAGTTCATCGCGCAAGACACTCTTTCAACCCCCAGACTCACAAGATACTCTTTCAACCCCCAGACTCACAAGACACTCTTTCAACCCCCAGACTCACAAGACACCCTTTCAACCCCCAGACTCACAAGACACTCTTTCAACCCCCAGACTCACAAGACACCCTTTCAACCCCCAGACTCACAGAACTTGATTACAGTTTAATGAGGAATGAAAGAAGAAGTGGTTCTTATCACCTGTGATGGATGAACAACATTTGTCCACAATGAGTTGTGATACACAGATGTTATTGCTCCTTCTTTGCCTCTTGATGATGGTGGTACAGAAAGTTTTGAAGGAGCACTGGAACAGAAAGTATTGAAGGAGCACTGGAACAGAAAGTATTGAAGGAGCACTGGAACAGAAAGTATCAAAGGAGCACTGGAACAGAAAGTATTGAAGGAGCACTGGAACAGAAAGTATCAAAGGAGCACTGGAACAGAAAGTATTGAAGGAGCACTGGAACAGAAAGTATGAAAGGAGCACTGGAACAGAAAGTATTGAAGGAGCACTGGAACAGAAAGTATTGAAGGAGCACAGGAACAGAAATTAGAGAAGGAGCACTGAAACAGAAAGTATTGAAGGAGCACTGGAACAGAAAATATTGAAGGAGCACTGGAACAGAAAGTATTGAAGGAGCACTGGAACAGAAAGTATTGAAGGAGCACAGGAACAGAAATTAGAGAAGGAGCACTGAAACAGAAAGTATGAAAGGAGCACAGGAACAGAAAGTATCAAAGGAGCACTGGAACAGAAAGTATCAAAGGAGCACAGGAACAGACATTAGAGAAGGAGCACTGAAACAGACAGTATTGAAGGAGCACTGGAACAGAAAGCATTGAAGGAGCACTGAAACAGAAAGTATTGAAGGAGCACTGGAACAGAAAGTATTGAAGGAGCACTGGAACAGAAAGTATCAAAAGAGCACGGGAACAGAAAGTAATGAAGGAGCACTGGAGCAGAAAGTATCAAAAGAGCACGGGAACAGAAAGTAGTGAATTCTGCTGTAATTGTGCCAGGTCATTTATTGTGAAGGATCTGTTTATTTCTACTGTTATTGTTTGTGTTTATTTACAGTGAGTTGTGCGTTGATACAAGTCTGGACTGAGTTCTCCAGGCATTCATCTGAGTCAAGCAGTCTACAAACTACATAGACATTGTAACATTGACACTGTAACATTGAGACACTGCAGCAGCAGCTGTTTCTGCACAAGACAATCAACATGGGAGCCTCCAAATGTATCACACTGGCAAAATACATCTTGGTGTTTACAGGAATCATTTACCTGGTGAGTGGGTCCAGAAAAACTTTATTTGTTGACAGTCAAAGGGCCAGTTCCATGCCACCAGGCATTCTGTATGTATGGTGCCAGGCCTTTCCCCCCTCCCCCTTAGGAGTACAAGGGTTTTAAAACAGTTAGTACACATTGGGATAATTCTGGATAATTTACTGCACTGGGTCATGGTCATTGCTATCATCCTACTGCACCAGTTCATGGTCATTGCTATCATTCTACTGCACCAGTTCATGGTCATTGCTATCATCCTACTGCACCAGTTCATGGTCATTGCTATCATCCTACTGTACCAGTTCATGGTCATTGCTATCATCCTACTGTACCTGTTCATGGTCATTGCTATCATCCTACTGCACTGGTTCATGGTTATTGCTGTCATCCTACTGCACTGGTTCATGGTTATTGCTATCATCCTACTGCACTGGTTCATGGTTATTGCTATCATCCTTCTGTACCAGTTCATGGTCATTGCTATCATCCAACTGCACCAGTTCATGGTCATTGCTATCATCCTACTGCACTGGTTCATGGTCATTGCTATCATCCTACTGCACCAGTTCATGATCATTGCTATCATCCTACTGCACCAGTTCATGGTCATTGCTATCATCCTACTGCACCTGTTCATGGTCATTGCTATCATCCTACTGCACCAATTCATGGTCATTGCTATCATCCTACTGCACCAGTTCATGGTCATTGCTATCATCCTACTGCACCAGTTCATGGTCATTGCTATCATCCTACAGTACCAGTTCATGGTCATTGCTATCATCCTACTGCACTGGGTCATGGTCATTGCCATCATCCTACTGTACTGGGTCATGGTCATTGCTATCATCCTACTGCACCAGTTCATGGTTATTGCCATCATCCTACTGCACCAGGTCATTGTCATTGCTATCATCCTACTGCACCAGTTCATGGTCATTGCTATCATCCTACTGCACCGGTTCATGGTCACTGCTATCATCCTACTGCACTGGTTCATGGTCACTGCTATCATCCTACTGCACCAGTTCATGGTCATTGCCATCATCCTACTGCACTGGTTCATGGTCATTGCTATCATCCTACTGTACCAGTTCATGGTCATTGCTATCATCCTACTGCACCAGTTCATGGTCATTGCTATCATCCTACTGCACTGGTTCATGGTCATTGCTATCATCCTACTGCACCAGTTCATGGTCATTGCTATCATCCTACTGCACCAGTTCATGGTCATTGCTATCATCCTACTGCACCAGTTCATGGTCATTGCTATCATCCTACTGCACTGGTTCATGGTCATTGCCATCATCCTACTGCACTGGGTCATGGTCATTGCCATCATCCTACTGCACCAGTTCATGGTCATTGCTATCATCCTACTGCACCAGTTCATGGTCATTGCTATCATCCTACTGCACTGGTTCATGGTCATTGCCATCATCCTACTGCACTGGGTCATGGTCATTGCTATCATCCTACTGCACTGGTTCATGGTCATTGCCATCATCCTACTGCACTAGGTCATGGTCATTGCCATCATCCTACTGCACCAGTTCATGGTCATTGCTATCATCCTACTGCACCAGTTCATGGTCATTGCTATCATCCTACTGCACTGGGTCATGGTCATTGCCATCATCCTACTGCACCAGTTCATGGTCATTGCTATCATCCTACTGCACCAGTTCATGGTCATTGCTATCATCCTACTGCACCAGTTCATGGTCATTGCTATCATCCTACTGCACCAGTTTATGGTCATTGCTATCATCCTACTATACCAGTTCATGATCATTGCTATCATCCTACTGCACCAGTTCATGGTCATGGTCATCCTACTGCACCAGTTTATGGTCATTGCTATCATCCTACTGCACCAGTTCATGATCATTGCTATCATCCTGGTCATGGTCATTGCTATCATCCTACTGTACCAGTTCATGGTCATTGCTATCATCCTACTGCACTGGGTCATGGTCATTGCTATCATCCTACTGTACCAGTTCATGGTCATTGCTATCATCCTACTGCACTGGGTCATGGTCATTGCTATCATCCTACTGCACCAGTTTATGGTCATTGCTATCATCCTACTGCACCAGTTCATGATCATTGCTATCATCCTACTGCACCAGTTCATGGTCATTGCTATCATCCTACTGCACTGGGTCATGGTTATTGCTATCATCCTACTGTACCAGTTCATGGTCATTGCTATCATCCTACTGTACCAGTTCATGGTCATTGCTATCATCCTACTGTACTAGTTCATGGTCATTGCTATCATCCTACTGCACTGGGTCATGGTCATTGCTATCATCCTTCTGTACCAGTTCATGGTCATTGCTATCATCCTACTGAACCGGTTCATGGTCATTACTATCATCCTACTGTACCAGTTCATGGTCATTGCTATCATCCTACTGCACCAGTTCATGGTCATTGCTATCATCCTACTGTACCGGTTCATGGTCATTGCTATTATCCTACTGTACCAGTTCATGGTCATTGCTATCATCCTACTGTACCAGTTCATGGTCATTGCTATCATCCTACTGCACCAGTTCATGGTCATTGCTATCATCCTACTGCACCAGTTCATGGTCATTGCTATCATCCTACTGCACCAGTTCATAGTCATTGCTATCATCCTACTGCACCAGTTCATGGTCATTGCTATCATCCTACTGCACTGGTTCATGGTCATTGCTATCAACCATAAAAGTATTAATATATATAATAATAATAATAATATTATTATTATGAAAGTAAAGATTGCTTTGTTCCTGTGGTTATGCTTTGTTCCTGTGGTTATGGTTTGTTCCTGTGGTTATGGTTTGTTCCTGTGGTTATGGTTTGTTCCTGTGGTTATGGTTTGTTCCTGTGGTTATGGTTTTAAAAAAAAAGTCTTATTGTCCTGAAATGTCTAATTTCATTGCCAGGTGTTCAAGCTAGTGTGGTATTTTTGTTTTATTTGGACATAGTAAAAGTATCAACAAGAACACATCTTGTATGATTTGTGAATAATAAAAAAAAGGTCATTGACAGCTTACTTGAGTTTGATCTGTGACAGGATGTAGAAAGTCTTAGTACAGTGTTTAACCTAGTGACCTGTTGGCTGCACGTATGGTGGATGGATGGATTGTAAACTGTTGGCTGCATGTATGGTGGATGGATGGATTGTAGACTGTTGGCTGCACGTATGGTGGATGGATGGATTGTAGACTGTTGGCTGCATGTATAGTGGATGGATGGATGGATTGTAGACTGTTGGCTGCATGTATAGTGGATGGATGGATTGTAGACTGTTGGCTGGATGTATAGTGGATAGATGGATTGTAGACTTAGCTGCATGTATGGTGGATGGATGGATTGTAGACTGTTGGCTGCATGTATAGTGGATGGATGGATGGATTGTAGACTGTTGGCTGCATGTATAGTGGATGGATGGATTGTAGACTGTTGGCTGCATGTATAGTGGATGGATGGATTGTAGACTGTTGGCTGCATGTATAGTGGATAGATGGATTGTAGACTTAGCTGCATGTATGGTGGATGGATGGATTGTAGACTGTTGGCTGCACATATGGTGGATGGATTGTGGACTGTTGGCTGCATGTATGGTGGATAGATGGATTGTAGACTTAGCTGCATGTATGGTGGATGGATGGATTGTAGACTGGTGGCTGCACATATGGTGGATGGATGGATTGTAGACTGTTGGCTGCACGTATGGTGGATGGATTGTGGACTGTTGGCTGCATGTATGGTGGATAGATGGATTGTAGACTGTTGGCTGCACGTATGGTGGATGAATGGATTGTAGACTGTTGGCTGCATGTATGGTGGATGGATGGATTGTAGACTGTTGGCTGCATTTATAGTGGATGATTGAATTGTAGACTGTTGGCTGCGTGTATAGTGGATGATTGGATTGTAGACTGTTGGCTGCATGTATAGTGGATGATTGGATTGTAGACTGTTGGCTGCATGTATAGTGGATGATTGGATTGTAGACTGTTGGCTGCACATATGGTGGATGGATGGATTGTAAACTGTTGGCTGCATGTATAGTGGATGATTGGATTGTAGACTGTTGGCTGCACATATGGTGGATGGATGGATTGTTAACTGTTGGCTGCATGTATGGTGGATGGATGGATTGTAGACTGTTGGCTGCACATATGGTGGATGGATGGATTGTAAACTGTTGGCTGCATGTATGGTGGATGGATGGATTGTAGACTGTTGGCTGCATGTATGGTGGATGGATGGATTGTAGACTGTTGGCTGCATGTATAGTGGATGATTGGATTGTAGACTAAGTAAATATTTGTCCTGTGGCAGATCTCTGCTGGTGGCCTATCCTATATTGGCATCTGGGTGTTCAGCACCTACGACCACTACGATGAGATTGCAGATTCCTCGCTGACCCTGCTGCCAGCCAGCATTATCCTGGCCATCAGTGCTCTCATGTGTATCATCGGCATCCTGGCTTGCCTGGCCGCCTGCAAGAGGTCCAAGAAATTGTTGTCAGTGGTGAGTATTTCTCAGCAACCTTATGTTTCTGTGAATATGTTTAAAGATTTGTTAAAATGTGAAATTCCAAATTATACAGTTTGCCTCATATAGCATCCTGTTTGTTAATACCCCTGACTAGTAGCACATATGGCTGGTAGCACACATGGCTAGTAGCATACATGGCTGGTAGCACATGTAGCTAGTAGCACACATGGCTGGTAGCACACATGGCTGGTAGCAATTAGGCTTCCGGTCAAAATGGACTCTAGGCACGATCACTGTTTTGAGTCATGGCAAATGTTTTGCTTCTGCCAGACGGTGGCGGTTGCATTTTTTTCTATTTGCTGACTGAAAGGATATACTTTCATAATCCAGCTACTGATATGAGTGCATGGCGCAACACTTTGAGCTGCGGATTTCATTTGGAATGTTTTTCAACTGTGACCAACATGGTGTTGTGAAATGAAGATTCAGAAAATGGTGCCCTGCCTGTTATTGCAATACTGTTGGTGCCCTTACGTGATTAAAATTGATTGTATTTGCAACTGCTGATTTGTTGGCAACTTTTGCTACCGTCTTTGCTGAACTGAATTGCTGATGTCAGACTGTTTGTGTTAGCCCTTCTAATGTCTACCTTATGCTTTAATGTATGTGTATGCTAGTGCACTTACTGAGTCAACAGTCTGTAAATCTTTCCACAAGGGACTGTGATAAACATTCTCTGTGTTTTTAGTTTGTCACAGGAGCGGAGCAACTATGGGGGGACCTGTTTGCTATAAAGCTGAAACTAAGATCACTGACTGGTAGCACTCTAAACTAGTAGCACTTTAAACTGGTTGCACACCTGACTAGTAACACACTAGACTAGTAGCACACCTGACTGGTAACACATAAGACTGTAACACTCTAAACTTGTAGACACCTGACTGGCAACACACTAAACTGGTAGCACACCTGACTGGCAACACACTAGACTAGTAGCACACCTGACTGGTAACACACTAGACTGGTAGCACACCTGACTAGTAGCACACCTGACTGGTAACACACTAGACTAGTAGCACACCTGACTGGTAACACACTAGACTAATAGCAAACCTGACTGGTAACACATAAGACTGTAACACTCTAAACTTGTAGCACACCTGACTGGCAACACACTAAACTGGTAGCACACCTGACTGTAACACATTAAACTGGGAGCACAACTGACTGGTAACACACTAAACTGGTAGCACACCCGACTGGTAACACACTAGACTGGTTACACACATGATTGGTAACACACCTGATTGGTAACACACCTGACTATAACATACTAGACTAGTAGCGCACTAGACTGGTAGCACACCTGACTAGTAGCACACTTGACTGTAACACACTAGACTGGTAGCACACCTGACTGTAACAAACTAGACTGGTAGCACACCTGACTAGTAGCACACCTGACTGTAACACGCTAGACTGGTAGCACAACTAACACTAGACTGGTAGCACACCTGACTAACACACTAGACTGGTAGTCCACATGACTAACACACTAGACTGGTAGTCCACATGACTAACACACTTGACTTGTAGTCCACATGACTAACACACTAGACTGGTAGTCCACATGACTAACACACTAGACTGGTAGTCCACATGACTAACACACTAGACTGGTAGCACACCTGACTAACACTAGACTGGTAGCACACATGACTAACACACTAGACTGGTAGCACACATAACTAACACACAAGACTGGCAGCACACATGACTTACACACTAGACTGGTAGAATACCTTACTAACACACTAGACTGGTAGCACACCTGACTAACACACTAGACTGGTAGAACACATCACTAACACACTAGACTGGTAGTACACCTGACTAACACACTAGACTGGTAGCCCACATTACTAACACACTAGACTGGTAGCCCACATTACTAACACACTAGACTGGTAGCCCACATTACTAACACACTAGACTGGTAGAACACATGACTAACACACTAGACTGGTAGCACAGATCACTAACACACTAGACTGGTAGTACACCAGACTAACACACTAGACTGGTAGCCCACATTACTAACACACTAGACTGGTAGTACACCTGACTAACACACTAGACTGGTAGAACACATGACTAACACACTAGACTGGTAGCCCACATTACTAACACACTAGACTGGTAGCCCACATTACTAACACACTAGACTGGTAGCCCACATTACTAACACACTAGACTGGTAGAACACATGACTAACACACTAGACTGGTAGAACACATTACTAACACACTAGACTGGTAGAACACATGACTAACACACTAGACTGGTAGAACACATGACTAACACACTAGACTGGTAGAACACATGAGTAACACACTAAAATGGTAGAACACATGACTAACACACTAGACTGGTAGAACACATGACTAACACACTAGACTGGTAGCCCACATTACTAACACACTAGACTGGTAGCCCACATTACTAACACACTAGACTGGTAGAACACATGACTAACACACTAGACTGGTAGCCCACATTACTAACACACTAGACTGGTAGCCCACATTACTAACACACTAGACTGGTAGAACACATGACTAACACACTAGACTGGTAGCCCACATTACTAACACACTAGACTGGTAGCCCACATTACTAACACACTAGACTGGTAGCCCACATTACTAACACACTAGACTGGTAGTACACCTGACTAACACACTAGACTGGTAGCCCACATTACTAACACACTAGACTGGTAGCCCACATTACTAACACACTAGACTGGTAGCCCACATTACTAACACACTAGACTGGTAGCCCACATTACTGACACACTAGACTGGTAGAACACATGACTAACACACTAGACTGGTAGCCCACATTACTAACACGCTAGACTGGTAGCACACATGACTAACACACTAGACTGGTAGTACACATGACTAACACGCTAGACTGGTAGCACACATGACTAACACACTAGACTGGTAGTACACATGACTAACACACTAGACTGGTAGTACACATGACTAACACACTAGACTGGTAGTACACCAGACTAACACACTAGACTGGTAGCCCACATTACTAACACACTAGACTGGTAGTACACATGACTAACACACTAGACTGGTAGTACACATGACTAACACACTAGACTGGTAGTACACATGACTAACACACTAGACTGGTAGAACACATGACTAACACACTAGACTGGTAGTACACCAGACTAACACACTAGACTGGTAGTACACATTACTAACACACTAGACTGGTAGTACACATGACTAACACACTAGACTGGTAGTACACATGACTAACACACTAGACTGGTAGAACACATGACTAACACACTAGACTGGTAGCACACCTGACTAACACACTAGACTGGTAGTACACCAGACTAACACACTAGACTGGTAGCACACCTGACTAACACACAAGACTGGTAGCCCACCTGACTAACACACTAGACTGGTAGCACACCTGACTAACACACTAGACTGGTAGCCCACATGACTAACACACTAGACTGGTAGTCCACATGACTAACACACTAGACTGGTAGCACACCTGACTAACATGCTAGACTGGTAGAACACATGACTAACACACTAGACTGGTAGAACACATGACTAACACACTAGACTGGTAGAACACATGACTAACACGCTAGACTGGTAGAACACATGACTAACATGCTAGACTGGTAGAACACATGACTAACATGCTAGACTGGTAGAACACATGACTAACACACTAGACTGGTAGAACACATCACTAACACACTAGACTGGTAGCACACATGACTAACACACTAGACTGATAGAACACATGACTAACACACTAGACTGGTGGCACACATGACTAACACACTAGACTGGTAGCACACATGACTAACACACAAGACTGGCAGCACACATGACTTACACACTAGACTGGTAGAATACCTTACTAACACACTAGACTGGTAGCACACATGACTAACACACTAGACTGGTAGAACACATCACTAACACACTAGACTGGTAGAACACATGACTAAACACTAGACTGGTAGTACACATCACTAACACACTAGACTGGTAGAACACATGACTAACACACTAGACTGGTAGAACACATCACTAACACACTAGACTGGTAGAACACATCACTAACACACTAGACTGGTAGCACACATGACTAAACACTAGACTGGTAGTACACATCACTAACACACTAGACTGGTAGAACACATGACTAACACACTAGACTGGTAGCACACATGACTAACACACTAGACTGGTAGCACACATGACTAACACACTAGACTGGTAGCACACATGACTAACACACTAGACTGGTAGTACACATCACTAACACACTAGACCGGTTAAAATGGACGCTAGACAGCGGCGTCGTTCGGAACATAGGCAAATTATTTGCTTCTGCCGGACGGTGGCCGATGCATTTTTGCTCCATTTGTAGACTGGATATAGTTTCGTCACCAAGCTTCTGAGTTGAATGCATGGCGTGACCCTGTGAGCTGCGGATTGCATTTGGAATGTTTTTTTTCGACTGTGACCAACGTGGTGGTGTGAATTGTAGATTCAGAAAATGGCGCGATGCCTGTCGTTCAATGCTTGCGAGACCCGTATTAAAATTGATCACGCGGACAACTGCTGATCTGTTGACGACAAGTTCTGCTATCATCAATGATGAACTGCATTTCTAATGTTGGACTGTTTGTGTTAGCACTTCGGATGGCTACCATATGCTTCAATGCTAGATATGCTGAGACATCAGTCTGTCAATCTTTCCACAAGGGACTGTGATAGACATTCTGAGTGTTTTTCGCTGGCACAGGAGCGGAGCAAAGATGGGGCAACCCGTTTGCTATGAAGCTGAAACTAAGACTACCAGACCAGACTAACACACTAGACTGGTAGCACACATGACTAACACACTAGACTGGTAGTCCACATGACTAACACACTAGACTGGTAGAACACATCACTAACACACTAGACTGGTAGAACACATGACTAACATGCTAGACTGGTAGCACACATCACTAACACACTAGACTGGTAGTACACATCACTAACACACTAGACTGGTAGAACACATGACTAACACACTAGACTGGTAGTACACATCACTAACACACTAGACTGGTAGTACACATCACTAACACACTAGACTGGTAGAACACATGACTAACATGCTAGACTGGTAGAACACATGACTAACACACTAGACTGGTAGTACACATGACTAACACACTAGACTGGTAGAACACATGACTAACACACTAGACTGGTAGCACACATGACTAACACACTAGACTGGTAGAACACATGACTAACATGCTAGACTGGTAGCACACATCACTAACACACTAGACTGGTAGTACACATCACTAACACACTAGACTGGTAGAACACATGACTAACACACTAGACTGGTAGTACACATCACTAACACACTAGACTGGTAGTACACATCACTAACACACTAGACTGGTAGAACACATGACTAACATGCTAGACTGGTAGAACACATGACTAACACACTAGACTGGTAGTACACATGACTAACACACTAGACTGGTAGAACACATGACTAACACACTAGACTGGTAGCACACATGACTAACACACTAGACTGGTAGCACACATGACTAACACACTAGACTGGTAGTACACATGACTAACACACTAGACTGGTAGTACACATCACTAACACACTAGACTGGTAGAACACATGACTAACATGCTAGACTGGTAGAACACATGACTAACACACTAGACTGGTAGCACAGATCACTAACACACTAGACTGGTAGTACACATCACTAACACACTAGACTGGTAGTACACATCACTAACACACTAGACTGGTAGCACACGTGACTAACACACTAGACTGGTAGCACACATCACTAACACACTAGACTGGTAGCACACCTGACTAACACACTAGACTGGTAGCACACCTGACTAACACACTTGACTGGTAGCCCACATGACTAACACACTTGACTGGTAGCACACATGACTAACACACTTGACTGGTAGCACACATGACTAACACACTAGACTAGTAGCACACATGACTAACACAATAGACTGGTAGCACACATGAGTAACACACTAGACTGGTAGCACAGATGACTAACACACTAGACTCGTAGAACACATCACTAACACACTAGACTAGTAGCACAGATGACTAACACACTAGACTGGTAGAACACATGACTAACACAATAGACTGGTAGCACAGATCACTAACACACTAGACTGGTAGCAAACATGAGTAACACACTAGACTGGTAGCACAGATGACTAACACACTAGACTCGTAGAACACATCACTAACACACTAGACTGGTAGCACAGATGACTAACACACTAGACTGGTAGAACACATGACTAACACACTAGACTGGTAGCACAGATCACTAACACACTAGACTGGTAGCACAGATGACTAACACACTAGACTGGTAGCACAGATGACTAACACACTAGACTGGTAGCACAGATGACTAACACACTAGACTGGTAGCACAGATGACTAACACACTAGACTGGTAGCACAGATGACTAACACACTAGACTGGTAGCACAGATGACTAACACACTAGACTGGTAGCACAGATGACTAACACACTAGACTCGTAGAACACATCACTAACACACTAGACTGGTAGCACAGATGACTAACACACTAGACTGGTAGAACACATGACTAACACACTAGACTGGTAGCACAGATCACTAACACACTAGACTGGTAGCACAGATGACTAACACACTAGACTGGTAGCACAGATGACTAACACACTAGACTCGTAGAACACATCACTAACACACTAGACTAGTAGCACAGATGACTAACACACTAGACTGGTAGAACACATGACTAACACACTAGACTGGTAGAACACATGACTAACACACTAGACTGGTAGAACACATGACTAACACACTAGACTGGTAGAACACATGACTAACACACTAGACTGGTAGCACAGATCACTAACACACTAGACTGGTAGAACACATGACTAACACACTAGACTGGTAGAACACATGACTAACACACTAGACTGATAGCACAGATCACTAACACACTAGACTGGTAGAACACATGACTAACACACTAGACTGGTAGAACACATGACTAACACACTTGACTGGTAGCACAGATCACTAACACACTAGACTGGTAGAACACATGACTAACACACTAGACTGGTAGAACACATGACTAACACACTTGACTGGTAGCACAGATCACTAACACACTAGACTGGTAGAACACATGACTAACACACTAGACTGGTAGAACACATGACTAACACACTTGACTGGTAGCACAGATCACTAACACACTAGACTGGTAGAACACATGACTAACACACTAGACTGGTAGAACACATGACTAACACACTAGACTGGTAGAACACTGGACTAGTGCTGTGTAGATCAGGAACTTTGGTACCCTTGCAGGTGTTGCTTGACCTTTGAACTATCACTTAAAGATTGTATGCTTGTGCTTGTACCACAGTAAAGTCCCTCCCTGTTGTTTACTTGCATGTGGCAGAGTCCTAGAGCTCATCAGTCTGGTCAGAGGTCTGTAACTGATTGTTGTTGATTGACATTTCAGTTCTTCTGCTTGATTTTAATGGTGTTACTAGGTGAGATATCCGCTGGTGCCCTGGGATTTGTGTACAGAAGTAAGGTATGTTATCACACCTCATATCTGACTTCATACTTCAAATCTGATTTTATACTATCTTTAGCCTGACTCTGTTTCAATGCCCTTACCTTGACTGAATGTCTATCTCACTACCTGGATCTATGTCAGACCCCTTACCATGACTGAATGTCTCTCTCACTACCTGGATCTATATCAATTTCATTACCTTGACTGAATGTCTCTCTCACTACCTGGATCTATATCAGTCCCCTTACCTTGACTGAATGTCTATCTCAGTACCTGGATCTATGTCAGTCTCCTTACCTTGACTAAATGTCTATCTCAGTACCTGAATCTATATCAATTTCATTACCTTGACTGAATGTCTCTCTCACTACTTGGATCTATATCAGTCCCCTTACCTTGACTGAATGTCTCTCTCACTACCTGGATCTATATCAATTTCATTACCTTGACTGAATGTCTCTCTCACTACCTGGATCTATATCAGTCCCCTTACCTTGACTGAATGTCTATCTCACTACCTGGATCTATATCAATTTCATTACCTTGACTGAATGACTCTCTCACTACCTGGATCTATGTCAGTCCCCTTACCTTGACTGAATGTCTCTCTCACTACCTGGATCTATATCAATTTCATTACCTTGACTGAATGTCTATCTCACTACCTGGATCTATGTCAGTCCCCTTACCTTGACTGAATGTCTATCTCACTACCTTTATCTATATCAGTCCCCTTACCTTGACTGAATGTCTATCTCACTACCTGGATCTATACCAGTCCCCTTACCTTGACTGAATGTCTATCTCAGTACCTGGATCTATATCAATTTCATTACCTTGACTGAATGTCTCTCTCACTACCTGGATCTATGTCAGTCCCCTTACCTTGACTGAATGTCTATCTCAGTACCTGGATCTATGTCAGTCCCCTTACCTTGACTGAATGTCTATCTCACTACCTGGATCTATGTCAGTCCCCTTACCTTGACTGAATGTCTATCTCACTACCTGGATCTATGTCAGTCCCCTTACCTTGACTGAATGTCTATCTCAGTACCTGGATCTATATCAATTTCATTACCTTGACTGAATTTCTCTCTCACTACCTGGATCTATGTCAGTCCCCTTACCTTGACTGAAAGTCTATCTCAGTACCTGGATCTATATCAATTTCATTACCTTGACTGAATGTCTCTCTCACTACCTGGATCTATATCAATTTAATTACCTTGACTGAATGTCTCTCTCACTACCTGGATCTATGTCAGTCCCCTTACCTTGACTGAATGTCTCTCACTACCTAGATCTATATCAGTCCCCTTACCTTGACTGAATGTCTCTCACTACCTAAATCTATATCTATCTGCTTACATTGACTGAATGTCTCTCACTACCTATATCTATATCTATCTGCTTACATTGACTGAATGTCTCTCACTACCTAAATCTATATCTATCTGCTTACATTGACTGAATGTCTCCCACTACCTAAATATATATCTATCTGCTTACATTGACTGAAGGTCTCTCACTACCTAAATCTATATCTATCTGCTTACATTGACTGAATGTCTCTCACTACCTAAATCTATATCTATCTGCTTACATTGACTGAATGTCTATCTCACTACCTGTATCTATGTCAGTCCCCTTACCTTGACTGAAAGTCTATCTCAGTACCTGGATCTATATCAATTTCATTACCTTGACTGAATGTCTCTCTCACTACCTGGATCTATATCAATTTCATTACCTTGACTGAATGTCTCTCTCACTACCTGGATCTATGTCAGTCCCCTTACCTTGACTGAATGTCTCTCACTACCTAGATCTATATCAGTCCCCTTACCTTGACTGAATGTCTCTCACTACCTAAATCTATATCTATCTGCTTACATTGACTGAATGTCTCTCACTACCTAAATCTATATCTATCTGCTTACATTGACTGAATGTCTCTCACCACCTAAATCTATATCTATCTGCTTACATTGACTGAATGTCTCTCACTACCTAAATCTATATCTATCTGCTTACATTGACTGAATGTCTCTCACTACCTAAATCTATATCTATCTGCTTACATTGACTGAATGTCTCTCACTACCTAAATCTATATCTATCTGCTTACATTGACTGAATGTCTCTCACTACCTAAATCTATATCTATCTGCTTACATTGACTGAATGTCTCTCACTACCTAAATCTATATCTATCTGCTTACATTGACTGAATGTCTCTCACTACCTAAATCTATATCTATCTGCTTACATTGACTGAATGTCTCTCACCACCTAAATCTATATCTATCTGCTTACATTGACTGAATGTCTCTCACCACCTAAATCTATATCTATCTGCTTACATTGACTGAATGTCTCTCACCACCTAAATCTATATCTATCTGCTTACATTGACTGAATGTCTCTCACCACCTAAATCTATATCTATCTGCTTACATTGACTGAATGTCTCTCACTACCTAAATCTATATCTATCTGCTTTCATTGACTGAATGTCCCTCACTACCTAAATCTATATCTATCTGCTTACATTGACTGAAGGTCTCTCACTACCTAAATCTATATCTATCTGCTTACATTGACTGAAGGTCTCTCACTACCTAAATCTATATCTATCTGCTTACATTGACTGAATGTCTCTCACCACCTAAATCTATATCTATCTGCTTACATTGACTGAATGTCTCTCACCACCTAAATCTATATCTATCTGCTTACATTGACTGAATGTCTCTCACTACCTAAATCTATATCTATCTGCTTACATTGACTGAATGTCTCTCACTACCTAAATCTATATCTATCTGCTTACATTGACTGAATGTCTCTCACTACCTAAATCTATATCTATCTGCTTACATTGACTGAATGTCTCTCACTACCTAAATCTATATCTATCTGCTTACATTGACTGAACGTCTCTCACTACCTAAATCTATATCTATCTGCTTACATTGACTGAACGTCTCTCACTACCTAAATCTATATCTATCTGCTTACATTGACTGAATGTCTCTCACTACCTAAATCTATATCTATCTGCTTACATTGACTGAAAGTCTCTCACTACCTAAATCTAAAAATGAGACCAAATGTCTGTCTCACTGACTGTCTCTGTATAAGTCTCCTTGCATGGCTGCAGACCTGCTTCCATGTCTGACTCTATCAGTGAACATGTTTGACACCATGTCTGACTCCATCAGTGAACATGTTTGACACCATGTCTGACTCTATCAGTGAACATGTTCGACACCATGTGTGACTCCATCAGTGAACATGTTTGACACCATGTCTGACTCCATCAGTGAACATGTTTGACACCATGTCTGACTCCATCAGTGAACATGTTTGACACCATGTGTGACTCCATCAGTGAACATGTTTGACACCATGTCTGACTCCATCAGTGAACATGTTTGACACCATGTGTGACTCCATCAGTGAACATGTTTGACACCATGTGTGACTCCATCAGTGAACATGTTTGACACCATGTCTGACTCCATCAGTGAACATGTTTGACACCATGTCTGACTCTATCAGTGAACATGTTTGACACCATGTCTGACTCCATCAGTGAACATGTTTGACACCATGTGTGACTCTATCAGTGAACATGTTTGACACCATGTGTGACTCCATCAGTGAACATGTTTGACACCATGTCTGACTCTATCAGTGAACATGTCTGACACCATGTCTGACTCTATCAGTGAACATGTTTGACACCATGTCTGACTCTATCAGTGAACATGTTTGACACCATGTGTGACTCTATCAGTGAACATGTTTGACACCATGTCTGACTCCATCAGTGAACATGTTTGACACCATGTCTGACTCTATCAGTGAACATGTTTGACACCATGTCTGACTCCATCAGTGAACATGTTTGACACCATGTCTGACTCTATCAGTGAACATGTTTGACACCATGTCTGACTCTATCAGTGAACATGTTTGACACCATGTCTGACTCCATCAGTGAACATGTTTGACACCATGTCTGACTCTATCAGTGAACATGTTTGACACCATGTCTGACTCTATCAGTGAACATGTTTGACACCATGTCTGACTCCATCAGTGAACATGTTTGACACCATGTCTGACTCCATCAGTGAACATGTTTGACACCATGTCTGACTCCATCAGTGAACATGTTTGACACCATGTCTGACTCTATCAGTGAACATGTTTGACACCATGTCTGACTCTATCAGTGAACATGTTTGACACCATGTGTGACTCCATCAGTGAACATGTTTGACACCATGTCTGACTCTATCAGTGAACATGTTTGACACCATGTCTGTTGGGTGTATGGTGATGATCCCAGTCTTTGACAGAGTGCTACCAGCTGGATGATCCCAGTCTTTGACAGAGTGCTACCAGCTGGATGATCCCAGTCTTTGACAGAGTGCTACCAGCTGGATGATCCCAGTCTTTGACAGAGTGCTACCAGCTGGATGATGTCAGTCAGTGTTATAGGATACTTTGCTTATAAGTGGCAGACACAGATTAGACCTCACTGGTACAGGGAAGATTTCAGGAATCAGTGCTGTTGGTTGAACAGGGAACAGCCTGTTGGGATATAGAGATTTCAGGTATCAGTGCTGTTGGTTGAACAGGGAACAGCCTGTTGGGATATAGAGATTTCAGGTATCATTGTTGTTGGTTGAACAGGGGACAGCCTGTTGGGATATAGAGATTTCAGGTATCAGTGCTTTTGTTGAACAGGGGCCAGCTTGTTGGGATGTAGAGAGATTTCAGGTATCAGTGTTGTTGGTTGAACAGGGGCCAGCTTGTTGGGATATAGAGAGATTTCAGGTATCAGTGTTGTTGGTTGAACAGGGGAGAGCCTGTTAGGCTGTAGAGAGATTTCAGGTATCTGTGATGTTGGTTGAACAGGGGAGAGCCTGTTGGGATGTAGAGAGATTTCAGGTATCAGTGTTGTTGGTTGAACAGGGGATAACCTGTTGGGCTGTAGAGATATTTCAGGTATCTGTGATGTTGGTTGAACAGGGGAGAGCCTGTTGGACTGTAGAGAGATTTCAGGTATCTGTGATGTTGGTTGAACAGGGGCCAGCCTGTTGGGCTGTAGAGATATTTCAGGTATCTGTGATGTTGGTTGAACAGGGGAGAGCCTGTTGGACTGTAGAGAGATTTCAGGTATCAGTGTTGTTGGTTGAACAGGGGATAACCTGTTGGGCTGTAGAGATATTTCAGGTATCTGTGATGTTGGTTGAACAGGGGCGAGCCTGTTGGGCTGTAGAGAGATTTCAGGTATCTGATGTTGGTTGAACATGGGCCAGCCTGTTGGGATGTAGAGAGATTTCAGGTATCAGTGTTGGTTGAACAACGGATAACATGTTAAGATGTAGAGAGATTTCATGTATCTGTGTTCTCTCTCTCTATTGCTGGTGTGTCTTGGGAGAGAATTTCCAGGCTGAGGAATTGACTGCTTACAAATATAAACCAACCAGCTTCTTGTCCAAGGAGAATATCTGCAGTAGGTCTCTCGTTATTGGGGGCCTGTTGGGATGTAGAGAGATTTCAGGTATCAGTGCTTTTGGTTGAACAGGGGCCAGCCTGTTGGACTGTAGAGATTTGAGAGAAACTGACTATTAATTGTCATGGGGGCACTGGTAGGGGCTCTAGCTCAGGGTCTGTTGGTTATAAAATGGAGAAAGTGTGAGAGAAGTTCCAATATTTGAAGCATTTGTTATCATGACAACATACTGACTTGTGTCTGCAGGTGGAGGCAGTTCTCAAGGAAGATCTCATGGATGCCATTAACAATTACAATGTCACAGTCTACCGGGAACAGATAGACTACATGCAGGAGGAGGTATACTCTCTCTGTCTCACTGTCCGTTTCTCTCTTTCTCTTACATGTTTTGGTCTGCACTTCCAGCCATCTGGCTTTTGTTGTCATTTGCTTGAAGTGTGGGGTTCCTGTATCTGTGAATGTTGGGTCTGTGTGAGTATGGTGTCTGTGTGAGTATGGTGTCTGTGTGAGTATGGTGTCTGTGTGAGTATGGTGTCTGTGTGAGTATGGTGTCTGTGTGAGTATGGTGTCTGTGTGAGTATGGTGTCTGTGTGAGTATGGTGTCTGTGTGAGTATGGTGTCTGTGTGAGTATGGTGTCTGTGTGAGTATGGTGTCTGTGTGAGTATGGTGTCTGTGTGGGTATGGTGTCTGTGTGGGTATGGTGTCTGTGTGAGTATGGTGTCTGTGTGAGTATGGTGTCTGTGTGAGTATGGGTCTGTGTGAGGTGTCTGTGTGAGTATGGTGTCTGTGTGAGTATGGTGTCTGTGTGAGTATGGTGTCTGTGTGAGTATGGTGTCTGTGTGAGTATGGTGTCTGTGTGAGTATGGTGTCTGTGTGAGTATGGTGTCTGTGTGAGTATTGGTGTCTGTGTGAGTATGGTGTCTGTGTGGGTATGGTGTCTGTGTTTTTATGGGTGTGTGTGAGTATGGTGTCTGTGTGAGTATGGTGTCTGTGTGAGTATGGTGTCTGTGTGAGTATGGTGTCTGTGTGAGTATGGTGTCTGTGTGGGTATGGTGTCTTTTGTTTTATGGTGTCTGTGTGAGTATGGTGTCTGTGTGAGTATGGTGTCTGTGTGAGTATGGTGTCTGTGTGAGTATGGTGTCTGTGTGAGTATGGTGTCTGTGTGGGTATGGTGTCTGTGTGGGTATGGTGTTTGTGTGGGTATGGTGTCTGTTGGGTATGGTGTTTTTGTGTGGGTATGGTGTTTGTGTGAGTTGGTGTTTTGTGTATGTGTTTGTGTGAGTATGGTGTCTGTGTGAGTATGGTGTTGTGTGAGTTTGGTGTTTGTGTTTTTTTTTTTTTGTGTGAGTTTGGTGTGTGTGTTTTTTGTGGTTTTGTATTGTTTTTTTTTTTTTTTGTTTTTGAATTTCTTTTGTTTTTTTGTTTTGTGTGTTTTGTGTTTTGTTTTTTTTTTTTTTTGTTTGTGTGTTTTTTTTATTGTGTTTTTTGTATTTTTTGTGTGTTTTTGTGTTTTGTTTTTTTTTTTTTTTGTTTTTTTTTTTTTTTTGTTTTTGTCTTTGTGTTTTTTTTATGTGTTTGTTTTGTGTTTGTTTTTGTGTTTTGTTTTTTTTTTTTTTGTTTTTTTTTTTTTTTTTGTTTGTTTTTGTTTTTTTTTTTTTTTTTTTTTTTTTTTTTTTTTTTTTTTTTTTTTTTTTTTTTTTTTTTTTTTTTTTTTTTTTTTTTTTTTTTTTTTTTTTTTTTTTTTTTTTTTTTTTTTTTTTTTTTTTTTTTTTTTTTTTTTTTTTTTTTTTTTTTTTTTTTTTTTTTTTTTTTTTTTTTTTTTTTTTTTTTTTTTTTTTTTTTTTTTTTTTTTTTTTTTTTTTTTTTTTTTTTTTTTTTTTTTTTTTTTTTTTTTTTTTTTTTTTTTTTTTTTTTTTTTTTTTTTTTTTTTTTTTTTTTTTTTTTTTTTTTTTTTTTTTTTTTTTTTTTTTTTTTTTTTTTTTTTTTTTTTTTTTTTTTTTTTTTTTTTTTTTTTTTTTTTTTTTTTTTTTTTTTTTTTTTTTTTTTTTTTTTTTTTTTTTTTTTTTTTTTTTTTTTTTTTTTTTTTTTTTTGTTTTTTTTTTTTTTTTTTTTTTTTTTTTTTTTTTTTTTTTTTTTTTTTGTTTTTTTTTTTTTTTTTTTTTTTTTTTTTTTTTTTTTTTTTTTTTTTTTTTTTTTTTTTTTTTTTTTTTTTTTTTTTTTTTTTTTTTTTTTTTTTTTTTTTTTTTTTTTTTTTTTTTTTTTTTTTTTTTTTTTTTTTTTTGTTTTTTTTTTTTTTTTTTTTTTTTTTTTTTTTTTTTTTTTTTTTTTTTTTTTTTTTTTTGTTTTTTTTTTTTTTTTTTTTTTTTTTTTTTTTTTTTTTTTTTTTTTTTTTTTTTTTTTTTTTTTTTTTTTTTTTTTTTTTTTTTTTTTTTTTTTTTTTTTTTTTTTTTTTTTTTTTTTTTTTTTTTTTTTTTTTTTTTTTTTTTTTTTTTTTTTTTTTTTTTTTTTTTTTTTTTTTTTTTTTTTTTTTTTTTTTTTTTTTTTTTTTTTTTTTTTTTTTTTTTTTTTTTTTTTTTTTTTTTTTTTTTTTTTTTTTTGTTTTTTTTTTTTTTTTTTTTTTTTTTTTTTTTTTTTTTTTTTTTTTTTTTTTTTTTTTTTTTTTTTTTTTTTTTTTTTTTTTTTTTTTTTTTTTTTTTTTTTTTTTTTTTTTTTTTTTTTTTTTTTTTTTTTTTTTTTTTTTTTTTTTTTTTTTTTTTTTTTTTTTTTTTTTTTTTTTTTTTTTTTTTTTTTTTTTTTTTTTTTTTGTTTTTTTTTTTTTTTTTTTTTTTTTTTTTTTTTTTTTTTTTTTTTTTTTTTTTTTTTTTTTTTTTTTTTTTTTTTTTTTTTTTTTTTTTTTTTTTTTTTTTTTTTTTTTTTTTTTTTTTTTTTTTTTTTTTTTTTTTTTTTTTTTTTTTTTTTTTTTTTTTTTTTTTTTTTTTTTTTTTTTTTTTTTTTTTTTTTTTTTTTTTTTTTTTTTTTTTTTTTTTTTTTTTTTTTTTTTTTTTTTTTTTTTTTTTTTTTTTTTTTTTTTTTTTTTTTTTTTTTTTTTTTTTTTTTTTTTTTTTTTTTTTTTTTTTTTTTTTTTTTTTTTTTTTTTTTTTTTTTTTTTTTTTTTTTTTTTTTTTTTTTTTTTTTTTTTTTTTTTTTTTTTTTTTTTTTTTTTTTTTTTTTTTTTTTTTTTTGTTTTTTTTTTTTTTTTTTTTTTTTTTTTTTTTTTTTTTTTTTTTTTTTTTTTTTTTTTTTTTTTTTTTTTTTTTTTTTTTTTTTTTTTTTTTTTTTTTTTTTTTTTTTTTTTTTTTTTTTTTTTTTTTTTTTTTTTTTTTTTTTTTTTTTTTTTTTTTTTTTTTTTTTTTTTTTTTTTTTTTTTTTTTTTTTTTTTTTTTTTTTTTTTTTTTTTTTTTTTTTTTTTTTTTTTTTTTTTTTTTTTTTTTTTTTTTTTTTTTTTTTTTTTTTTTTTTTTTTTTTTTTTTTTTTTTTTTTTTTTTTTTTTTTTTTTTTTTTTTTTTTTTTTTTTTTTTTTTTTTTTTTTTTTTTTTTTTTTTTTTTTTTTTTTTTTTTTTTTTTTTTTTTTTTTTTTTTTTTTTTTTTTTTTTTTTTTTTTTTTTTTTTTTTTTTTTTTTTTTTTTTTTTTTTTTTTTTTTTTTTTTTTTTTTTTTTTTTTTTTTTTTTTTTTTTTTTTTTTTTTTTTTTTTTTTTTTTTTTTTTTTTTTTTTTTTTTTTTTTTTTTTTTTTTTTTTTTTTTTTTTTTTTTTTTTTTTTTTTTTTTTTTTTTTTTTTTTTTTTTTTTTTTTTTTTTTTTTTTTTTTTTTTTTTTTTTTTTTTTTTTTTTTTTTTTTTTTTTTTTTTTTTTTTTTTTTTTTTTTTTTTTTTTTTTTTTTTTTTTTTTTTTTTTTTTTTTTTTTTTTTTTTTTTTTTTTTTTTTTTTTTTTTTTTTTTTTTTTTTTTTTTTTTTTTTTTTTTTTTTTTTTTTTTTTTTTTTTTTTTTTTTTTTTTTTTTTTTTTTTTTTTTTTTTTTTTTTTTTTTTTTTTTTTTTTTTTTTTTTTTTTTTTTTTTTTTTTTTTTTTTTTTTTTTTTTTTTTTTTTTTTTTTTTTTTTTTTTTTTTTTTTTTTTTTTTTTTTTTTTTTTTTTTTTTTTTTTTTTTTTTTTTTTTTTTTTTTTTTTTTTTTTTTTTTTTTTTTTTTTTTTTTTTTTTTTTTTTTTTTTTTTTTTTTTTTTTTTTTTTTTTTTTTTTTTTTTTTTTTTTTTTTTTTTTTTTTTTTTTTTTTTTTTTTTTTTTTTTTTTTTTTTTTTTTTTTTTTTTTTTTTTTTTTTTTTTTTTTTTTTTTTTTTTTTTTTTTTTTTTTTTTTTTTTTTTTTTTTTTTGTTTTTTTTTTTTTTTTTTTTTTTTTTTTTTTTTTTTTTTTTTTTTTTTTTTTTTTTTTTTTTTTTTTTTTTTTTTTTTTTTTTTTTTTTTTTTTTTTTTTTTTTTTTTTTTTTTTTTTTTTTTTTTTTTTTTTTTTTTTTTTTTTTTTTTTTTTTTTTTTTTTTTTTTTTTTTTTTTTTTTTTTTTTTTTTTTTTTTTTTTTTTTTTTTTTTTTTTTTTTTTTTTTTTTTTTTTTTTTTTTTTTTTTTTTTTTTTTTTTTTTTTTTTTTTTTTTTTTTTTTTTTTTTTTTTTTTTTTTTTTTTTTTTTTTTTTTTTTTTTTTTTTTTTTTTTTTTTTTTTTTTTTTTTTTTTTTTTTTTTTTTTTTTTTTTTTTTTTTTTTTTTTTTTTTTTTTTTTTTTTTTTTTTTTTTTTTTTTTTTTTTTTTTTTTTTTTTTTTTTTTTTTTTTTTTTTTTTTTTTTTTTTTTTTTTTTTTTTTTTTTTTTTTTTTTTTTTTTTTTTTTTTTTTTTTTTTTTTTTTTTTTTTTTTTTTTTTTTTTTTTTTTTTTTTTTTTTTTTTTTTTTTTTTTTTTTTTTTTTTTTTTTTTTTTTTTTTTTTTTTTTTTTTTTTTTTTTTTTTTTTTTTTTTTTTTTTTTTTTTTTTTTTTTTTTTTTTTTTTTTTTTTTTTTTTTTTTTTTTTTTTTTTTGTTTTTTTTTTTTTTTTTTTTTTTTTTTTTTTTTTTTTTTTTTTTTTTTTTTTTTTTTTTTTTTTTTTTTTTTTTTTTTTTTTTTTTTTTTTTTTTTTTTTTTTTTTTTTTTTTTTTTTTTTTTTTTTTTTTTTTTTTTTTTTTTTTTTTTTTTTTTTTTTTTTTTTTTTTTTTTTTTTTTTTTTTTTTTTTTTTTTTTTTTTTTTTTTTTTTTTTTTTTTTTTTTTTTTTTTTTTTTTTTTTTTTTTTTTTTTTTTTTTTTTTTTTTTTTTTTTTTTTTTTTTTTTTTTTTTTTTTTTTTTTTTTTTTTTTTTTTTTTTTTTTTTTTTTTTTTTTTTTTTTTTTTTTTTTTTTTTTTTTTTTTTTTTTTTTTTTTTTTTTTTTTTTTTTTTTTTTTTTTTTTTTTTTTTTTTTTTTTTTTTTTTTTTTTTTTTTTTTTTTTTTTTTTTTTTTTTTTTTTTTTTTTTTTTTTTTTTTTTTTTTTTTTTTTTTTTTTTTTTTTTTTTTTTTTTTTTTTTTTTTTTTTTTTTTTTTTTTTTTTTTTTTTTTTTTTTTTTTTTTTTTTTTTTTTTTTTTTTTTTTTTTTTTTTTTTTTTTTTTTTTTTTTTTTTTTTTTTTTTTTTTTTTTTTTTTTTTTTTTTTTTTTTTTTTTTTTTTTTTTTTTTTTTTTTTTTTTTTTTTTTTTTTTTTTTTTTTTTTTTTTTTTTTTTTTTTTTTTTTTTTTTTTTTTTTTTTTTTTTTTTTTTTTTTTTTTTTTTTTTTTTTTTTTTTTTTTTTTTTTTTTTTTTTTTTTTTTTTTTTTTTTTTTTTTTTTTTTTTTTTTTTTTTTTTTTTTTTTTTTTTTTTTTTTTTTTTTTTTTTTTTTTTTTTTTTTTTTTTTTTTTTTTTTTTTTTTTTTTTTTTTTTTTTTTTTTTTTTTTTTTTTTTTTTTTTTTTTTTTTTTTTTTTTTTTTTTTTTTTTTTTTTTTTTTTTTTTTTTTTTTTTTTTTTTTTTTTTTTTTTTTTTTTTTTTTTTTTTTTTTTTTTTTTTTTTTTTTTTTTTTTTTTTTTTTTTTTTTTTTTTTTTTTTTTTTTGTTTTTTGTCTATTTGTTTTTTTTGTGTTTTTTTTTTTTTTTTGTGTTTTTGTATTTTTTGTGTTTTTTTTTTTTTTTGTTTTTTTTTTTTGTTTTTTTTTTTTTTTTTTTTTTTTTTTTTTTTTTTTTTTTTTTTTTTTTTTTTTTTTTTTTGTGTTTTTGTTGTGTTTTTGTTTTTGTTTGTTTTTTTTGTATGTGTATTTTTTTTTTTTTTTTTTTTCTATTTTTTTTTTTTTTTTTTGTTTTTTTTTTGTGTATTGTGTCTATGTATGTGTATTTTGTCTATGTATGTGTATTGTGTTTATGTGTTTGTGTTTTGTTGTTTTTTTTGTGTATTGTTGTGTATTGTGTCTATGTATGTGTATTGTGTCTGTATGTATGTGTATTGTGTCTGTGTATGTGTATTGTGTATTGTATGTATGTGTGTGTCTATGTATGTGTATTGTGTCTATGTATGTGTATTGTGTCTATGTATGTATTGTGTCTGTGTACATATTGTAACTGTGTCACTCATGTGTTGAATCTTGTCATGGGTGGGGTTGGTTATAGTTGACTCATGTGTTGAATCTTGTCATGGGTGGGGTTGGTTATAGTTGACTCATGTGTTGAATCTTGTCATGGGTGGGGTTGGTTATAGTTGACTCATGTGTTGAATCTTGTCATGGGTGGGGTTGGTTATAGTTGACTCATGTGTTGAATCTTGTCATGGATGGGGTTGGTTATAGTTGACTCATGTGTTGAATCTTGTCATGGGTGGGGTTGGTTATAGTTGACTCATGTGTTGAATCTTGTCATGGGTGGGGTTGATTACAGTTGACTCATGTGTTGAATCTTGTCATGGGTGGGGTTGGTTATAGTTGACTCATGTGTTGAATCTTGTCATGGGTGGGGTTGGTTATAGTTGACTCATGTGTTGAATCTTGTCATGGGTGGGGTTGGTTATAGTTGACTCATGTGTTGAATTTTGTCATGGGTGGGGTTGATTACAGTTGACTCATGTGTTGAATCTTGTCATGGGTGGGGTTGGTTATAGTTGACTCATGTGTTGAATCTTGTCATGGGTGGGGTTGGTTATAGTTGACTCATGTGTTGAATCTTGTCATGGGTGGGATTGATTACAGTTGACTCATGTGTTGAATCTTGTCATGGGTGAGGTTGGTTATAGTTGACTCATGTGTTGAATCTTGTCATGGGTGGGGTTGGTTATAGTTGACTCATGTGTTGAATCTTGTCATGGGTGGGGTTGATTACAGTTGACTCATGTGTTGAATCTTGTCATGGGTGGGGTTGGTTATAGTTGACTCATGTGTTGAATCTTGTGATGGGTGGGGTTGGTTATAGTTGACTCATTTGTTGAATCTTGTCATGGGTGGGGTTGGTTATAGTTGACTCATGTGTTGAATCTTGTGATGGGTGGGGTTGGTTATAGTTGACTCATGTGTTGAATCTTGTCATGGGTGGGGTTGGTTATAGTTGACTCATGTGTTGAATCTTGTCATGGGTGGGGTTGGTTATAGTTGACTCATGTGTTGAATCTTGTCATGGGTGGGGTTGGTTATAGTTGACTCATGTGGTGAATGCTGTCATGACATGTCCCTTATGCAACAATATCATCTTTTCTTGTTGATTGAAGGGATGGAAAATTATCCAGCTGAATGAGACAACTCTGTTTGATTGATTGAAGGGATAGAAAACTATCCAGCTGTATGAGACAACTCTGTTTGATTGATTGAAGGGATGGAAAACTATCCAGCTGAATGAGACAACTCTGTTTGATTGATTGAAGGGATGGAAAACTATCCAGCTGAATGAGACAACTCTGTTTGATTGATTGAAGGGATGGAAAACTATCCAGCTGTATGAGACAACTCTGTTTGATTGATTGAAGGGATGGAAAACTATCCAGCTGTATGAGACAACTCTGTTTGATTGATTGAAGGGATGGAAAACTATCCAGCTGTATGAGACAACTCTGTTTGATTGATTGAAGGGATGGAAAACTATCCAGCTGTATGAGGCAACTCTGTTTGATTGATTGCAGTTCTCCTGCTGTGGAGTACAGAATGCATCTGATTGGTTGAGCTCCACATACTGGAGACAGAATCACAGTGATACTGTGCCATCTTCATGTTGTAAGTCCAACCAGACTTGCACCCCCAAGCTAGGCTCTCAGAATATATACTATGATGTAAGTATTCTCATCCATTGTGTGTACGTTTCACTCTGTTCTGTCCCTGGACTTTGTCAGGAGGGGGGTGTGCTTCAATATGTGTGTATGTGTTTCACTCTGTTCTGTCCCTGGACTTTGTCAGGAGGGGGGTGTGCGTCAATATGTGTGTATGTGTTTCACTCTGTTCTGTCCCTGGACTTTGTCAGGAGGGGGGGAAGGGGGGTGTGCATCATTATGTGTGTATGTGTTTCACTCTGTTCTGTCCCTGGACTTTGTCAGGAGGGGGGTGTGCGTCATTATGTGTGTATGTGTTTCACTCTGTTCTGTCCCTAGTTTGCTTTTGTTAGGCTTTTTGCTAGTCTCTCTCTCTTTCTCTCTCTTGCTCTCTCTCTTTCTCTCTCTCTATTGCTGGTGTGTCTTGGGAGAGAGTTTCCAGGCTGAGGAATTGACTGCTTACAAATATAAACCAACCAGCTTCTTGTCCAAGGAGAATGTCTGCAGTAGGTCTCTCGTTATTGGGAGTCTCTCGTTGCTGACGGTCTCTCGTTGCTGAGGGTCTCTCATTGCTGAGTGTCTCTTGTTATTGGGGGGGGGGGGGGGGGGCTCTCGTTGCTGAGGGTCTCTGGTTGCTGAGGGTCTCTCATTGCTGAGGGTCTCTTGTTGCTGAGGGTCTGTCATTGCTGAGGGTCTCTTGTTGCTCTCTTGTTGCTGAGGGTCTCTTGTTGCTGGAGGTCTGTCATTGCTAAGTGTCTTGTTGCTCTCTTGTTGCTCTCTTGTTGCTGAGCGTCTCTTGTTGCTGAGGGTCTCTTGTTGCTCTCTTGTTGCTGAGGGTCTCTCGTTGCTGAGGATCTCTTGTTGCTGAGGGTCTCTTGTTGCTGGGGTGCTCTTGTTGCTGAGGATCTCTTGTTGCTGAGGGTTTCTTGTTGCTGAGTGTCTCTTGTTGCTGAGGGTCTCTTGTTGCTGAGGGTCTCTTGTTGCTGAGGGTTTCTTGTTGCTGAGGATCTCTTATTGCTGAGGGTCTCTTTTTGCTGAGGGTCTCTTGTTGCTAAGGGTCTCTTGTTGCTGAGGGTCTCTTGTTGCTGAGGGTCTCTCATTGCTGAGGGTCTCTTGTTGCTGAGGGTCTGTCATTGCTGAGGGTCTCTTGTTGCTGAGGGTCTCTTGTTGCTGAGGGTCTGTCATTGCTGAGGATCTCTTGTTGCTGAGGGTCTCTTGTTGCTGAGGGTCTCTTGTTGCTGAGGATCTCTTGTTGCTGAGGGTCTGTCATTGCTGAGGATCTCTTGTTGCTGAGGGTTTCTTGTTGCTGAGGATCTCTTATTGTTGAGGGTCACTTTTTGCTGAGGGTCTCTTGTTGCTGAGGATCTCTTGTTGCTGAGGGTCTGTCATTGCTGAGGATCTCTTGTTGCTGAGGGTCTCTTGTTGCTGAGGGTCTGTCATTGCTGAGGGTTGTTGCTGAGGGTCTCTTGTTGCTGAGGGTCTCTTGTTGCTGAGGCTCTTGTTGCTGAGGGTCTCTTGTTGCTGAGGATCTCTTGTTGCTGAGGATCTCTTGTTGCTGAGGGTCTTTTGTTGCTGAGGGTCTCTTGTTGCTGAGGGTGTCTTGTTGCTGAGGGTCTCTTGTTGCTGAGGGTCGCTTGTAGCTGAGGGTCTCTTGTTGCTAAGGGTCTCTCGTTGCTGAGGATCTCTTGTTGCTGAGGGTCTGTCATTGCTGAAGGTCTCTTGTTGCTCTCTTGTTGCTGAGGATCTCTTGTTGCTGAGGGTCTTTTGTTGTTGAGGGTCTCTTGTTGCTGAGGGTCGGTTGTAGCTGAGGGTCTCTTGTTGCTAAGGGTCTCTCGTTGCTGAGGATCTCTTGTTGCTGAGGGTCTGTCATTGCTGAAGGTCTCTTGTTGCTCTCTTGTTGCTAAGGATCTCTTGTTGCTCTCTTGTTGCTGAGGATCTCTTGTTGCTCTCTTGTTTCTGATGATCTCTTGTTTCTGAGGGTCGCTTGTTGCTGAGGGCCTGTCATTGCTGAGGGTCTCTTGTTGATCTCTTGTTGCTCTCTTGTTGCTGAGGGTCTCTTGTTGCTCTCTCTTTGCTGACGATCTCTTGTTGCTCTCTTGTTGCTGAGGTTCTCTTGTTGCTGAGGGTCTCTCATTGCTGAGTGTCTGTCATTTGCTGAGTGTCTGTCATTGCTGAGTGTCTGTCATTGCTGAGTGTCTCTTGTTGGTCTCTTGTTGCTGACGATCTCTTGTTGCTCTCTTGTTGCTGAGGGTTTCTTGTTGCTCTCTTGTTGCTGAGGGTCTCTTGTTGCTGAGGGTCTCTTGTTGCTGAGGGTCTCTTGTTGCTCTCTTGTTGCTGAGGATCTCTCGTTGCTGAGGGTCTCTCGTTGCTCTCTTGTTGCTGAGGATCTTTTGTTGCTTAGGGTCTTTTGTTGCTGAGGAATTCTTGTTGCTGAGGATCTCTTGTTGCTGAGTGTCTCTTGTTGCTGAGGATCTCTTGTTGCTGAGGGTCTCTTGTTGCTGAGGGTCTCTTGTTGCTGAGGGTCTCTCATTGCTGAGTGTCTCTTGTTGCTGAGGGTCTCTCGTTGCTGAGGGTCTCTCGTTGCTGAGGGTCTTTTGTTGCTGAGGAATTCTTGTTGCTGAGGATCTCTTGTTGCTGAGTGTCTCTTGTTGCTGAGGATCTCTTGTTGCTGAGGGTCTCTTGTTGCTGAGGGTCTCTTGTTGCTGAGGGTCTCTCATTGCTGAGTGTCTCTTGTTGCTGAGGGTCTCTCGTTGCTGAGGGTCTCTCGTTGCTGAGGGTCTCTTGTTGCTGAGGGTCTCTTGTTGCTGAGGGTCTCTTGTTGCTGAGGGTCTCTTGTTGCTGAGGGTCTCTCATTTCTGAGGATCTCTTGTTGCTGAGGGTCTCTCATTGCTGAGGATCTCTTGTTGCTGAGGATCTCTTGTTGCTGAGGATCTTTTGTTGCTGAAGGTCTTTCACTGAGGATCTTTTGTTGCTGAAGGTCTTTTACTGAGGATCTTTCATTGCTGAAGGTCTTTCACTGAGGATCTTTTGTTGCTGAAGTTCTTTCACTGAGGATCTTTTGCTGCTGAAGGTCTTTCACTGAGGATCTTTTGTTGCTGAAGGTCTTTCACTGAGGATCTTTTGTTGCTGAAGGTCTTTCACTGAGGATCTTTTGTTGCTGAAGGTCTTTTACTGAGGATCTTTTGTTGCTGAAGGTCTTTCACTGAGGGTCTTTTGTTGCTGAGGGTCTTTCACTGAGGATCTTTTGTTGCTGAAAGTCTTTCTGTGAGGATCTTTTTGTTGCTGAAGGTCTTTCACTGAGGATCTTTTGTTGCTCGTCTTTCACTGAGGTCTCTTGTCTCATGCTTATTTTGTTCTATTTGAGATTTTGAGTATTTGACTAGCTTTTGTAAGGAGAGACCAAGCAAGTTGGAGACACCTGGTACAATGAAGTTGATGCTTTTCACCCAAAACTGTTGTTTCTGATTCTATCAAACATAAATGATTGTTGCCTAGAGAATGCAGATTTGGCTGTTTGTTTTCAGGGCTGCTTGAGCAAGTTGGACCAGGAGTTCAATAAAAATCTGGTCTATGTGATCTCAGCTGCCGTGTTTCTGGCCCTGGTGCAGGTGAGTAGACTTGTCACATTCTCACACCTGCAGCAAGTTGTGGGGGGGGGGGGGGGGGGGGGCACTAGTGCTGGGCTTAGACTGAACACAAATTATGGCTGCCAACAGTACTGCCAACAGTTTATATTGTAGCCCTGTTGGGGTGGGGGGGGGGGGGGGGGGTAGGAGACTGCCAACAGTTTATATTGTAGCCCTGGTAGGAGACTGCCAACAGTTTATATTGTAGCCCTGGTGGGGTGGGTGGGGGGGGGGGTAGGAGACTGCCAATAGTTTATATTGTAGCCCTGGTGGGGTGGGGGGTATTCAGCAGAGGAGAAAGGATCAGCATTGAACTTGCTTAACCGAATTGCGCGGTGACCGGGTGACGTACTCCTTGAGGTCCGGGTTCATGCCCGGGGGTAGGCAGAAAAGCCACATTTCTTCCACATTTACAGTATTTATCATGGAATCAAGGCCGAAGGTTTTGATATCCATAATACCGAGCCTAAGGGTTAACAACTCATGGCTTCTGGATACTAAAAAAAAAAAACTTGCTTAGCATAGAAGCAGTTGATAGCTGCAGCGAATGTAGCAGCTAAAGGGGTGATGTCCCACACCACAAGGGAGTAGTGCAAGTGTTGCACTGAAGTGAATATAAACAAGTGAGATCTCCCACACCACATATATGTGTGTATGGAGAGAGAGATCATAGACACGGCAACATGTGTAAAAGAAAGAGACATGGAGGGAGAGAGAGAGAGAGAGAGCATAGACATGGCAACATGTGTACAAGAAAGAGACATGGAGAGAGAGAGAGAGCATAGACACGGCAACATGTGTACAAGAAAGAGACATGAAGAGAGAAAGAGAGATCATAGACACAGCAACTTGTGTAGTAGAAAGAGACATGGAGAGAGAGAAAGAGAGAGCATAGACACAGCAAATTGTGTACTAGAAAGAGACATGGAGAAAGAGAGAGAGAAAGAGAGAGCAACAGAAAGAGACATGGAGAGAAAGAGACATGGAGAGAAAGAGACATGGAAAGAGAGAGCAACAGAAAGAGGCAGTGTTCTCAGATACTGTGTACATGTAGACAGCTGTGACCAGTGTTCTCAGATACTGTGTACATGTAGACAGCTGTGACCAGTGTTCTCCGATACTGTGTACATGTAGACAGCTGTGACCAGTGTTCTCAGATACTGTGTACATGTAGACAGCTGTGACCAGTGTTCTCAAATACTGTGTACATGTAGACAGCTGTGACCAGTGTTCTCAGATACTGTGTACATGTAGACAGCTGTGACCAGTGTTCTCAAATACTGTGTACATGTAGACAGCTGTGACCAGTGTTCTCCGATACTGTGTACATGTAGACAGCTGTGACCAGTGTTCTCAGATACTGTGTACATGTAGACAGCTGTGACCAGTGTTCTCCGATACTGTGTACATGTAGACAGCTGTGACCAGTGTTCTCCCATACTGTGTACATGTAGACAGCTGTGACCAGTGTTCTCAGATACTGTGTACATGTAGACAGCTGTGACCAGTGTTCTCAGATACTGTGTACATGTAGACAGCAGTGACCAGTGTTTGTTGAATGTCCCCAGCTGCTAGCACTACTGAGTGCATGTATCCTGGTGTGCAGAATCACTGAGGAGCGCCAGTACCAGACTCTAGCAGACCAGTCACCCTCAGGCTGGAGAGTTTGATCACCTGAAGCTTCCTTAATCAAGTGTCCAGTTGTGTGTGTGGGACTGGGGTCAGCTTTGGTGTGGTAGGTGTGTGTGTGGGACTGGGGTCAGCTTTGGTGTGGTAGGTTTGTGTGTGGGACTGGGGTCAGCTTTGGTGTGGTAGGTTTGTGTGTGGGACTGGGGTCTGCTTTGGTGTAGTAGGTGTGTGTGTGTGTGAGGCTCAGGTCAGCTTTGGTGTGGTAGGTTTGTGTATGTGAGGCTGGGGTCAGCTTCGGTGTGGTAGTTTCATGTGTGAGGCTGGGATCAGCTTTGGTGTAGTAGGTGTGTGAATGAGGCTGGAGTCAACTTTGGTGTGGTAGGTGTGTGAATGAGGCTGGAGTCAACTTTGGTGTTGTAGGTTTGTGTGTGTTAGGCTGGAGTCAACTTTGTTATTTTAGGTTTGTGTATGTGGAACTGGGGTCAGCTTTGGTGTGGTAGGTTTGTGTGTGAGAGGCTGGGGTCAGCTTTGGTGTGGTAGGTTTGTGTGTGAGAGGCTGGGGTCAGCTTTGGTGCGGTAGGTTTGTGTGTGTGAGGCTGGGGTCAGCTTTGGTGTGGTAGGTTTGTGTGTGAAAGGCTGGTGTCAGCTTTGGTGTGGCAGGTTCAACACTCTACTGATTGCCATGAAAAATGTCTTTTATGTTGGAACTGACATTTATGCTACAGTCAATGTTGTATATACTTGTCTGCAGGGAAAGAGATTTACTCTGCAGTGTTGAATTGTTACATAGTTTGTTTGATAACTTTCTAGACAACAGACTTCAGTCGACTCAAGTTCTCTTTGTGTTTTTACTGTTTGTTGTTGCTGCTGTTTGTCTACTTTACATCATAAATGTGAGAGAGAAAGAGAAGGGGGGGGGGGGGGGGGGGGGGGAGAGTCCTGAGTGGGTGATTGTTTTCATGACTTCATTTATCTAAATAAGTCTGAGCTCGATGTACATAGAATCTGCATTCGATGAAACATTGTCAGTTGTAGATCACAGGAGACACCACTCTGTTACCTGATGTCATCCATGTCCAGTCTCTGTTACCTGATGTCATCCATGTTCAGTCTCTGTTACCTGATGTTATCCATGTCCAGTCTCTGTTACCTGGTGTCATCCATGTCCAGTCTTTTTTACCTGATGTCATCCATGTCCAGTCACTGTTACCTGGTGTTATCCATGTCCAGTCTCTGTTACCTGATGTCATCCATGTCCAGTCTCTGTTACCTGATGTTATCCATGTCCAGTCTCTGTTACCTGGTGTCATCCATGTTCAGTCTCTGTTACCTGATGCCATCCATGTCCAGTCTCTGTTACCTGATGTCATCCATGTCCAGTCTCTGTTACCTGATGCCATCCATGTCCAGTCTCTGTTACCTGATGTTATCCATGTCCAGTCTCTGTTACCTGATGTCATCCATGTCCAGTCTCTGTTACCTGATGTCATCCATGTCCAGTCTCTGTTACCTGATGTCATCCATGTCCAGTCTCTGTACCTGATGTCATCCATGTCCAGTCTCTGTTACCTGATGTCATCCATGTCCAGTCGCTGTTACCTGATGTTATCCATGTCCAGTCTCTGTTACCTGATGTTATCCATGTCCAGTCTCTGTTACCTGATGTTATCCATGTCCAGTCTCTGTTACCTGATGTTATCCATGTCCAGTCTGTTACCTGATGTCATCCATGTCCAGTGTGTTACCTGATGTCATCCATGTCCAGTCTGTTACCTGATGTCATCCATGTCCAGTCGCTGTTACCTGATGTTATCCATGTCCAGTCTCTGTTACCTGATGTCATCCATGTCCAGTCTCTGTTACCTGATGTTATCCATGTCCAGTCTCTGTTACCTGATGTTATCCATGTCCAGTCTCTGTTACCTGATGTTATCCATATCCAGTCTGTTACCTGATGTCATCCATGTCCAGTGTGTTACCTGATGTCATCCATGTCCAGTCTGTTACCTGATGTCATCCATGTCAAGTCTCTGTTACCTGATGTCATCCATGTCCAGTCTCTGTTACCTGATGTAATCCATGTCCAGTCTCTGTTACCTGATGGTATCCATGTCCAGTCTCTGTTACCTGATGTCATCCATGTCCAGTCTCTGTTACCTGATGTTATCCATGTCCAGTCTGTTACCTGATGTCATCCATGTCCGGTCTGTTACCTGATGTCATCCATGTCCAGTCTCTGTTACCTGATGTCATCCATGTCAGGTCTCTGTTACCTGGTGTCAACCATGTCCAGTCTCTGTTACCTGATGTTATCCATATCCAGTCTCTGTTACCTGGTGTCATCCATGTTCAGTCTCTGTTACCTGATGTCATCCATGTCCAGTCTCTGTTACCTGATGTTATCCATGTCCAGTCTCTGTTACCTTGTGTCAACCATGTCCAGTCTCTGTTACCTGATGTTATCCATGTCCAGTCGCTGTTACCTTGTGTCAACCATGTCCAGTCTCTGTTACCTGATGTCATCCATGTCTAGTCTCTGTTACCTGATGCCATCCATGTCCAGTCTCTGTTACCTGATGTCATCCATATCCAGTCTCTGTTACCTGATGTTATCCATGTCCAGTCTCTGTTACCTGATGTCATCCATGTCCAGTCTCTGTTACCTGATGTCATCCATGTCCAGTCTCTGTTACCTGATGTCATCCATGTCCAGTCTCTGTTACCCGATGCCATCCATGTCCAGTCTCTACCAAGAGACAGTGGCTGTCTGACATCTGAGCCTAAAGACAGTGGCTGTCTGACATCTGAGCCTAGAGACCGTGGCTGTCTGACATCTGAGCCTAAAGACAGTGGCTGTCTGACATCTGAGCCTAAAGACAGTGACTGTCGGATGGAAGTATAGTACCAGACATGTCACAATTGTTTGCCACATTCCTTCACACTGATGTGCCAGTGGCACAGTCATTCGCTCTTGTACATCCAACTTCTCAACCCATCCTTGCAGGCTCACCAGCTAGTACATCTAATCTATCAACCCATGTCTCAGTCTCTGTCATCACCAGCTAGTACATCTAATCTATCAACCCATGTCACAGTCTCTGTCCTCACCAGCTAGTACACTAACCTATCAACCCATGTCTCTGTCCTCACCAGCTAGTACATCTAATCTCTCAACCCATGTCTCTGTCATCACCAGCTAGTACATCTAATCTCTCAACCCATGTCTCTGTCCTCACCAGCTAGTACAGCTAATCTCTCAACCCATGTCTCTGTCCTCACCAGCTAGTACAGCTAACCTATCAACCCATGTCTCTGTCCTCACCAGCTAGTACAGCTAACCTATCAACCTATGTCTCTGTCCTCATCAGCTAGTACATCTAATCTCTCAACCCATGTCTCTGTCCTCACCAGCTAGTACATCTAATCTCTCAACCCATGTCTCTGTCCTCACCAGCTAGTACAGCTAATCTCTCAACCCATGTCTCTGTCCTCACCAGCTAGTGCATCTAATCTCTCAACCCATGTCTCTGTCCTCACCAGCTAGTACATCTAACCTCTCAACCCATGTCTCTGTCCTCACCAGCTAGTACATCTAATCTCTCAACCCATGTCTCTGTCCTCACCAGCTAGTACATCTAATCTCTCAACCCATGTCTCTGTCCTCACCAGCTAGTACATCTAATCTCTCAACCCATGTCTCAGTCTCTGTCCTCACCAGCTAGTACATCTAATCTCTCAACCCATGTCTCAGTCTCTGTCCTCACCAGCTAGTACAGCTAATCTCTCAACCCATGTCTCTGTCCTCACCAGCTAGTACAGCTAACCTCTCAACCCATGTCTCTGTCATCACCAGCTAGTACATCTAATCTCTCAACCCATGTCTCTGTCCTCACCAGCTAGTACAGCTAACCTCTCAACCCATGTCTCTGTCCTCACCAGCTAGTACATCTAATCTCTCAACCCATGTCACAGTCTCTGTCCTCACCAGCTAGTACAGCTAACCTCTCAACCCATGTCTCTGTCCTCACCAGCTAGTACAGCTAATCTCTCAACCCATGTCTCTGTCCTCACCAGCTAGTACAGCTAACCTCTCAACCCATGTCTCTGTCCTTACCAGCTAGTACATCTAATCTCTCAACCCATGTCTCTCTCCTCACCAGCTAGTACAGCTAATCTCTCAACCCATGTCTCTGTCCTCACCAGCTAGTACAGCTAACCTCTCAGCCCATGTCTCTGTCCTCACCAGCTAGTACAGCTAACCTCTCAACCCATGTCTCTGTCATCACCAGCTAGTACAGCTAACCTCTCAACCCATGTCTCTGTCCTCACCAGCTAGTACATCTAATCTCTCAACTCATGTCACAGTCTCTGTCCTCACCAGCTAGTACAGCTAACCTCTCAACCCATGTCTCTGTCCTCACCAGCTAGTACAGCTAACCTCTCAACCCATGTCTCTGTCCTCACCAGCTAGTACATCTAATCTCTCATCCCATGTCTCTGTCCTCACCAGCTAGTACATCTAACCTCTCAACCCATGTCTCTGTCCTCACCAGCTAGTACAGCTAACCTCTCAACCCATGTCACAGTCTCTGTCCTCACCAGCTAGTACAGCTAACCTCTCAACCCATGTCTCTGTCCTCACCAGCTAGTACATCTAATCTCTCAACCCATGTCTCTGTCCTCACCAGCTAGTACATCTAACCTCTCAACCCATGTCTCTGTCCTCACCAGCTAGTACAGCTAATCTCTCAACCCATGTCTCTCTCCTCACCAGCTAGTACAGCTAATCTCTCAACCCATGTCTCTGTCCTCACCAGCTAGTACAGCTAATCTCTCAACCCATGTCTCTGTCCTCACCAGCTAGTACAGCTAATCTCTCAACCCATGTCTCTGTCCTCACCAGCTAGTACAGCTAATCTCTCAACCCATGTCTCTGTCCTCACCAGCTAGTACATCTAACCTCTCAACCCATGTCTCTGTCCTCACCAGCTAGTAGAGCTAATCTCTCAACCCATGTCTCTCTCCTCACCAGCTAGTACAG